CAGTTTACTTTTTTTTTTTTTCCAGTGGCCCTAATCCTCTTCCATAAATATGGGATAATATAAAAGGTTGTGTTACATTTAATCCTTTACTATTAAAAAACATTGTACAATAGAAACATTATATGATTGTAGGAAACGGATATAATGCTGCAGGGCAGCCTCAGGGTGAAGCAGCTGCCCTTCACTGCTGCATGATGGAAGAAATGTGTTTGGAAAGTTACCATAAAATTAGGGCTGCAACTAATGATTATTCTGCTAATTGATTAATGTGTCGATTCTTTTTTCAATGAGTCGATTAATAATCAGATCAGCCAAAAGTTCCTTAAAGAAGATTTTTTTTTCTAAATGAAACCAGGTCAAACAGAAACGTTTCCTCTTCAGGAGTTCTGGATGGAGAATATTAAAAGACAAAAACTTTTTTATTTTTAATTTAAATGCAAAATGTTTACATATTTTTTTACAATCTTGGTATAATTCCTGCTCTAAGTGGGTCGCTCTGTCGGCTAAAGGCACATTTTAGTGGCCCTATACTCCAGTTAACGATTAATCAATTACTAAATTAGTTGATTATTTAAATAATTGATTAATATGATTAATTATTTCATCCATAGATAAAATACATGAAATGGGCGACACAGAGTAACTACAGCCCAGATGCAGAACTTGTTTAGTAAAGTTAATATTTTAAATGCTCAGTGTCAGTTCCTCTTATAGTTCCAGGGCACATATAAATACAATGCATTTATTTACCGTCCCTTTAATGTATTATTTTTGAAAGATACAAAGAGAGCATATTAGATAAAATAAATAAGAGTGGGTTTTACCTGGTTACCTCTGCACAATTCTATATCTTCAATAGAAAATACAGGATAAATCCATATATAAAAGACATATTTAGACTATATTTGGTTAAATAGGCACTGGTAAGTTGAAATGCAAACCTTTTTAAAGTGGAATAAAGTCCTAATCCCACATTGATCAGAGCCGGTGATGCTTTAAGCATTGACAAACAGCATCTAGTGAGTGTAGAGCTGTTCTCTTTAAACAGAATGTGCCCTGATGCTCACATTAAGCATATTTTTGCAAAGGAGCAATGACGTCAGACCAATGAAACTGAAGACCAATAGTGTCCCTACCAAAGCTGAAGTAAAACCTACGCCTTTGGGATCTGGGAAGGTCAAGGTGTGTATAGTGAGAAGCAGAGCAGAGCGTTTACAGTCAGTGACGCCATTAGAAATGTTTCATAGAGCGGCCAGATGAGGCCACTAAAAATCTTGGGGTGGCCACTGAAACTAAAAGCCAGAATTTCAGGGTTTAAATCTACAATTGTGGTAAAGCTGCATGTAGAACTATACAGACATCAGTAAACACCTCCTCATGTCTTGGTTTATTGTGTGATTTTTAATGTTACATCACTGGCTGTGCATAACGGGATGAAATGCTGGATTAAAACATTTCATCAATAAATGCCGTGTGTTTAATCATTTAATCTAACTGTAACCAGACCTTAAAATTAAAGTTTTCTTTTAAAATTAAGCAGTTCAGATAAATATTTGTGTAAATATTAAGGATTTTAAATGATTAAAAAGTTTAAAAAGAAAAAAACCCAACAACTAATAAACATGTTTAGCTTGAAAGGCTGTTAAAAAAAAAAAAAAAATCTACAATGATTTAGGTGAAAAAAAGAAAGATTTCTCCTCTAAAGAACTGCTGAACTACATTTCCCATGCTTCTCTCTGAGGAATCGGCCAATCAGAAAGCCCAAAAAGCTTTAGATGACCGGGCCTTCCTGTCAGTGAAACTTCTGAAAGGCTTTATTTTCAGATGCAGGATTCTGAACTCATAACCTTCCATAGGAGAAGCGCAGTCAGCAGATGGTTCACAGACGTGTTTCAACAGTCAGGTTTTCCCAGTGATCTCCATGGATCTGGAGTCACACCCATCCCAGGATTGGAAGTCTTCCATTGATTGGTTCTGACACCAATATCACAGGAAAAAATGGCCCCAATGAGCTAAAGTGGGTTAATAATGGTTTAAATTATTCTTCTCAGGAACTCTTGCAGGCTTTATTATTTCCATTTCTTTTAATATACGGTTATACTGTTTAAATTTAAATGTTATTTTGTATTGAAGTTGTAGTTTTTGTTTAAAGAAATCGTTTTTACAGCAATTCAAATCACTGTCTGTCATTATTGAGGTCAAACCAAGGGCTCAGCATCTTCTGTTAATGTTCCTGTTGTTATAAATCACTTATTACCCCTTTCTCTGTTAGCATATGGAGACATAACTCCTGTTTATTTGGCATTTCTTCTGCCATGATGATGGTTTTTGGACATTGGGAAGCAGTGTCCACATTTCATCTTGACACGATGACCAGAGAAGAGGACGCAGCTTTGGTGATGAAGCAGCTGAAAGACTAAGTAAAGAATCAATTAATTAAAGGTTATTGGTTGCTGATTATTTGGCCAAATAATGTTTTATTCACCTCATGGATTTGCTTTTTGAATTGGTCTGAAAACATTCCTACAAACTTTGTTTTCAAACACAGGATCCATCTTAAACTGTAGTAGGAGCCTAAATGCAGTTTATTTGAGTTAGAATATTTATTTTTTAAAATATGCAAATACATAAGATAAATATTATGATTTAATGATTCAAAGGGATTTAAAAGGAATTAAAAAATGTTATTTTCATATGTTCAGATAATTGATATTGTGAGTGAGATATGACTTTTATTGTGACATTTAAAAACCCACGAAGGGGAGGGGCTTATCTTCATGCCAGGTGAGGAAGGCAGTTAACCTGACAACAGCCAGATGTCAGGTGAGGAAGGCAGTGGGAATCAGGTGGAGATTGGAGCACGATCGTTTTTTGACCTCACTCTTCCCAGGCTCCGTTGGACTTTAAAAGGACTTCATTTCATGGATGTATTTGATGTTTTCTGTAATGTTGCGTTAAGTTTTCAAGTAAACCGTTAAAATGAAGAAGTGGACTTGTGGATTTATTTTGGATACAAGGGAGTCTGACGAGTGTCAAGCTAAAGCTTTAATAAGGACAGCAAGAACCTACAACCATGTTCCCCCTTCTACGGAAGAGGATTAGGGCCTGGATTAGTAAACTGATTTTTAAATTTTATTTCAGTTTAACATGGGAAAAAAGTCAGAATTCTGACTGAATTC